ATCACTAACCAAGCACTAATTTGGGATTCTGAAGGGAAACAGAAAAGAGGAAGGCCAAAGAACGTACTGCGGCAAGAAATGGAAGTAGACATGAAAATGATGAATAGCAACTGGAAACAATTGGAAAGGATTGTCCAGGACGGAGAATGCTGGTGGGTGGCCTATGCTCCTCCATAAGGGGTAACAGGCGTATGTAAATTATTATCTTTCTCACCATTTTTTTTTACATAACACTGATTCATCCTCTCTATATGTATCTTTCTTGCTAAATACTACTTATAATGGTTATTTTTCGGTCAAATTTAATTGTAACACTATAGATAATTACAAAATATATTGTAAAATTCAGTACCAAATTCAGGTCAGGTTATAGATATGATCATTTCAATACAAATTTACTTGATAATAGTAAAAACCATAAGTTTACATGATTTGAAAGTATGAGATTTTGTAGGTCACTTTAAAATGAATATTTTGAACAGAGTTGATATAAATGTGAAATAATACAAATTATAGTTGACCTTTGTTGAAGTGATTTCACAACTCAGGATTTGTGATTGTTGTATACATTTTATCGCAAAAAATAAACTCAACAATCATGGAGTTGTTATTGGTATAGATACTAAAATGTCAAAAGTGTAACATGAATGAATCATAAAACGAGTTTTGTTATTAGGATACACGTTACTTATTAGCCGTAGATGGTACATATAATAGTTGAAACACCAAAACCCTCCGTTTTTTCATTCACATCACTGAGAAAGCTACCATAATATATTCAGTTCCCCAAATGCCCTGGTATGGCCGAGAGTGGGGAGAGTCCGCTCTCCCTCTCCAAATGCTCTCACATGGCCACATGCATACAACCACTACCAGGAAAGTCCTACTCACTGCCTTTTCGTGGCGAGGGTGTTGTTCACGAAATTGAGAGGATGAAAAGCGAATGTCCGATATTTTAACCGGGTCGGTGGACATGGAGAGTCTACCTAGAGGAGTTGGAAAACCCTCATTCCAAACCAATGATGCACATCGGCCCCAGTATCCTGATGGAACAAATGGCGTATGAACCAATCGTTGGTCACAGGCAACCATGAGACTGCATCTCCTTACGATGCTCCACTGCTTTGTGGATCAGACCTTTATGTCAAAGGCTCCGGATGTGGCCGCCTAAGAAAACCACCTGTTTCGGTTTGAGCACCCGGACAGTATCACAGCCCCTACACAAATCAAATGAGTTTTGTGTGACGCATATCTATTTGGTACCTCCTTGTACCAATATCTATGTGTTCAAATAAGTAAATAAACAAATAGTTTCACAAAAGAAATCACTTGTACTGACACAGAACTAATATTGGTAACGATCTAATCAGAGAACCTCCGTTTATTCAAAAACCGGATAAACTTTCCAACTTCAGCTTAATAACAGATTATTAACACTGGAAGTAGTCTAGTTTTCTTTTTTGAAGTCGGCGTTGCCAAAATGTAAAGTCAATCATCATAATCTTAATTGTTAATCGCTTCATTTCAACTTTCACGTTTCCATCGATACTGAGAAAGGAAATTAGGATACACATAATCAGTTATGGATAATATGAAAAGACTAATTTGGTAAGTTTAGGATCTCTCTCTGTAGTGATTATTTTCTTTTCTTCTTAGTGTATTATTCTATAATAGATATATGCTTATTTAAACAGTAAGTGGTTTTGATATACATCAATGAACAACCGACTAGTGTCTTGGTAGAGTTTTATACCTAACCGAATGTATTATGAAAGTAGAAGCCATATTATTGAGATCATAAACCAACCTAAATTAGACAATCATCAAGAACTAGGAAACACTAGATAACTGTTTCGTCCTAATAGTATGTATTTTCCAAATTACATCGCCTATTGAGGTGAGATGTTCCTCTATCAATTAGAGTACAAGTATATTGCGCAGCAGTTTGTTCTGTTTTACTTTATGGTTGCGAAACATGGTCAGTAAGGGTAGAGAATACTCATAATTTACTAGTATTTGATCACATATGTCTTAGAAATATTACTCGTATCTGCTTGGATCACCGGGCAAGTAATAGTGAGGTTAGACGCAGGGTATTATGGAATGATGGTAAATCTGTTGATGAGGTTTTGAATCTTCATCGACTGAGATGGATGGACCGTATATTACGCATGCCCAACCACCGATTACCACTGCCCGCAATGTTGATTAGTGTTGGAGACGGTTGGAAGAAAGTTAGGGGCGGTCAATTCAAGACATGGCATCAGTCCATAATGTCACTAACTTCTGGTTTGAGCCATGCAGACTACTTGGTTGAGGTTCGCGCGACTGTTGTAACCAGTGGTTGGAGACTGTGTGTGACATGCCTCAGAAGTGATCACAATGTCGTATGTGTATGCACTCTTTGTCTTCCCTTAAACTATGAAATTTAAATTACTTTATGCTTTTCTTTCTACGAAGTAATTACCATCGAAGTAACTGCTTTTGTGAATTTGGTGTTCATCCTTTTTATGCTAATTAGGTATGACCGATGTATTTATGTGCCAGGTCCTACGTTGTAGATGACTGACTGACCGAATAGTGTACATTCACAAGTCCACCATGTGTAAAATAAATCATCTTAACGTCTGACAGAAGGCATCTAAACTTCAAACCACTGAGTTTACATCCAGTTGTTGACATCGTTCATTTTTAATTATTTTTATCTTCCAAAGTGAACTGTCTGTCACCAGACCTATATTGAAAAGTATTTATTTATTTATTTAGGTCAACTCGTTTGCTTATTTTTGGAAAGAAACCTATAAATTAGTTTTATATTATTTATTGATTTATTTCAACATATAAACATTGGTACAAGGAGGCACTAAATACAAATGCGCCACATTTCGCCATTTGATTTGTGTGAGGGCTGAGATACTGTCTGGGCGTCCAAACAGAAGCAGGTGGTTTTCTTAGATGGCCACTCCCTGAGCCTTTGACATAGACGTATAGTCCACAATACAGTGAAGCAACGTTAGGAGATATAGTCTCATGGTAGACGGTGACCAACATTAGCTTCATATGCACAATTGGTTTTATAATCAGGGTTTTCCAACTCGCCAAAGCGGACCCTCCCCGTTCACCAATCCGGTTAATGCACCGAACAATTGCTTTTCGTCCTCTCAATTTTGTATAAACATCCTCTCCGCGAGGGAAGTCAGTGAGTAGGATTTCCCTGTCAGGACTGTATACGCGTTGGCATTTGGAGAGGGAGAGCGAACTCTCCTCATCCTCAACCGTACCAGGGCATTTATCCATCAACCCGATTACATTGCCGGACATTCACTTTTTACAAAATAAATTAGTTTTACTTTTCTCAAATACACTTCATTTAAATAATTGTAACAATTTTCGTTTATTTTATTTACAGACAAATTGAGAATCTTGACGTTCGTATTTCTCAATCGTTACTACTATTTTACAACAATTAGAAATGAAAATAACAAAGCATCGATCAATTCCAATATGATAGATTCAATGAATAGTTTGATTATTTTATTTTTCATTGTTTTAAACATGTTTGCTCAAGTATTTAGTTCTTCTTCTTCTTCTTCTTCGTTTAATATTAGTATCAGTATTACTATTAGTAATAGTAATAATAATAATGGTCAGTGTTATTATTTCTAGTATTGATTTTGAAGCATGGTAGAGTGTTTCTATCCTCTATATATCTAATAACCTATACAAAGAAAAAACTCCTTTCTGAACTTTTAATTATGTAAATGTAATGATCTTCTTGTAATATAAATTAATTTCTACTTAGATAGAGAAACAAGATTGTTTCTAGAATTTTATGAGTTTTCATTTTAATTGTCATTATTGATTTATTCATGTAGTTTTTTTTTTTGTTTATTATACTACTAATCACAAAGTATACCAGTAGAGTATGTGCATTTCTATCGAATGTACATACTTAACACATTCGTATAAAAAAGAAAACATTTAACGATCAAACAACCATGGTAACAATATTATACCTTGAGTAGTTGTTAAATCATTTTTTCAGATGTATTTCCCTTTTTTTGTGTGTGTAGATTACTTTTGCCAATGAATTCTTAGTGGTGGTGGTGGTGGTGGTAGTGTGTTCTCTTTTTTTTCTTGCAGACCAATAAGAGTGAAATAACCAATGATTGTTTACTTTTCTTGTTTTTCATTGTTTCTATTATATTCATCTTTTCAATTCATCAATTTGATCTAATCAAAACGATGTATTCAATACTGAATAGAAAAAATTGACGAGATTTATGTATAAACATTGAACATAGAAACTATTAGTGCAATAGAAACACAATACATTTTCTTTAAATAGTAGAAAAAAATTTCTTTAATATATTTATCTTTCATAGAAAATTTATTTTTTATTTTTCCCCCCTCCCTCTTTTGTTTTAACGATATACTTAGTGAATAGTTTGTAAAACAATATCGATTTTTTGTTGTTATTCATTTATGCAATTATTGTGTTTTTTTTGTGTACATTTTATTTAAACAAATCACGAACCAAAAAAGGCATTTATTATCTACCATGTAATGGGAGGTACTCATCTATCAGCCACTGGTAACTCTATCTAATATATAGAGATTATTCTGTTCAATATTATTTTATCTAGTTTTATTTTCTCTTCTATTTCGTTGTGATTTATTTCCACCCCCCGACCCTCCAGAAAATAGTTTTCTTTTATGTGTGCAATAATAATTCCTTTTTTTGTGTGTTAAAGAAGTTGTTCATTCATTGTTACGTTGTAGTAAATTGTATAGTTGACATATTAGATTATTCATATAATAACAATAATAATCTTCTTAGATAAAACATTAATTCATATAGAAACGTGTATACAATCGGATTCTTCAATCATACATATTCAACAAATGATGATAACAATAATAAAGGACCAATCAGTTTTCTAGTCAACCTTCTTTTAAACTATCTTGATTTGAAAGAACTATATCCAGCAATGTTATATCCTTTATTTTGTTTGGTTACATTGTTTTTAAAAAAAGTATTTGTGTACTGACAGAAATAAATAAATAGTTGTATCATGTCAAATATGCCAAATATATATATATACTACTCAATAAATATGTTATAAGTTCTCATTGAATGCGTTTATACGAAATGTAAAATATTGTGTATGTGGATTCAAAAAGTTGATCTGTGCTCATATTTTTGTGTATGTATTGTTTATTTAAACCATATTATTTTTACCAAGAAATATAAATGATGGCTAGCAGAAGAATCCAGGACGCACGTTTCGTCCTATTTAGGATTCGTCAGTTGGATGTGCATGTATCCCAAATTTGATGTTCATTTCGGGACTTGAATCTAGTAGTGGGAAGATTACGAAAAACAGTACAAAATGTATATTGTTTTTGTAAAGAAACTACGTTTTTACATTCAGTAAATATTCGTCAGTTGTATCATATATATATTTTTTTAATTGTTTATTGTATTTTCATTGAAGTTGAATAGTGGCTTATAACGAATTTTAAGAATCATGATGTTTCATTCTCGATGTAGGTAGTCTCATTTGATTTTTCTTGTTGTTAGCAAGGTTGTTGTTTTTACGGGATGTGGTTGCTAACCCGATGCCCAAACTTTCTCCTTTACTCGGTCTTAAAACTTACAGGAACCGTAATAGGGCTTTAGGTAAAGTTGACGCTCATACTTAGATGCAGGTATATTCGGCTGACATGAGTCTCGACGAGCATAAAACATGCGTTCTGGTTTCTAATTCTAGCCACTATCCAACTTTATTAGAATACTTGTGACTTAATGAGAAAAGTCAGGCGATTTGCTCAGGATGCAGATATAATCAAAAGAGAGTGTTATTTTCAAACCTCAACGTTAACAATTGAAAAAGTGTAAATTCCTATATATAATGTCTGTTGTACTGTTCGTCATAACATTAATGTTTTCTTTAATGATATATGACTTACAAAGATATTGTTAGAGTGCTTGTAAGTGAAGACAATGCCACATGTAATTTATATTCAATCAATTGATCTTAGTTGCATGTTAGTATAGGTTGAAATAGCATTCAAACTGAATGGATTTAACAGCTGTTTGTGCACCGTACACTGAATTGAGTTCGCAATCCTCGGGTCTTATAGTGATCGTGTTAAATTAATACAACTCATTGAAAATCTTGTATCCCGCATTTTTTGACTTCAGTTATTCAACTCAATGATTATCCATGGTAATATTCGTTTCACTCTTAACATGGGTAAAGTACACCATATTGATGTTTAAAACGAAATGCATTAAGTCCTAGTATCAGTGTGTCTAAATTGATATTTGAAAGTATGAATATGTAAGTCGATTTCTGAAATAAAGCCATGATTGTGTATACTTTTCAATTACGATTTCTCAAATGATTAGGCTGCTACTACTGAAGCCAGTTAAGTAATCGGCGAAAATGTTAACTTATTATCACTTTATCTGTTTTGAAAATTGACCTAAATCAAAACGTGAGCTTTGGTAATATAACTCAGTCAATCTGTACACATATCTTTTCCTCTACGGGACTTTTCAGTAACAGGTTTGATCTCATGCACAGAACCTGAAACGTAAAGTTTGTCTAGGTATTCTTGATTTAACATTGTTGATACCAGTTCTTCATTAAACCATTTATTTATGATTAATGTTATGACAGTAGTGAAAATGAAATACATTCCTCTTAATAAATTATATTAATGAAATTGATTTACTGTAAAATTTTACCCTTAAAATCATTTAACCAATATTTATTTGTTATTTTCTTCTTGATTCATTGCCTTACTAAATAACTTCAAGCCATTATTATGACTCCAAAACCAGTTTCCGAAACAGAATTACGTGAATGGGGAAAATGTTTATTAAATCCATCTGCTTCTCTAGTTGATCGTTCACGTGCTCTTTGGGGATTACGTCATGCTGCTGAACCACTAGCACTTGAATTGTTAGCTGATTTTGTTTGTAATTATGTTAAGCCGTCACCTATCGCTAATGATCTCTTACAACATGAAGCTGCTTATTGTCTAGGACAACGCGGTGATCCAAAAGCTGTACCACATCTTTTACAAGCTCTACATAATGATAAACATGTTACACTTATTCGTCATGAAGCTGCTGAAGCATTAGCTGCTTTAAGTGGATGTGATGGTGCAGAGATTGAAGTAATTGAAAAAGCTTTAAAAGAATACGTTAATTCAAATATAATTGAGGTAATGTTTAGTTGTTTGATTTTGCCTATCTCATATGTAAATTTATTTGTTTGTTTTTAATTTATGGATTAATTAATTGACTTAGTAGTTAAAATATTTTAATTTCTAATTCATAGGTTACTTGTTCGAGAACACACATACTACTTACTTAGTTTTGAGCAGCGAATAATCTCATTAGCTCTCACAAAAAATTATAATCCAAAATCGAGTACATGAACCATTTGAATTTGAGAAATTACATTGTTTTCAATAAATTAAAGAAAGGTTCTACGGAATGAAACGGTTGCTTAGTGGTTAAGGCATACGACTTTCACCTACCAAGTGTCCGCTTCAAGTCCCTTCTCGCTAAACAATATCATTAGTTCTCATGTTTAAAGTGTCGCTCATATCCAAGTACCTGGATAATAAGTTAATTTAATTTTCAGATGAAATAGATTACATAAAATGTGAAACAATTTCTAAGCCAATCTGTCGATAAAATAGGGAATAAAATAAAGTGACTTAAATTTATGTTACACACAACAAATGCTTACTTTAGAATATCTAACTTGAATTCAGTTAGTTGTATAACAGTTATATAACATACCCTTGTGGGCCAGGGTAATTTTACATTGGTTTTCAGGAGAACCAGACACTATCCAGGCCTTCACGTGACAACCCAAACAGTACAGCTCAATCCCGTTTAACACGAGAGCCAGATACTGCCCGGGATAAATTTCATAACCCGAGCAGTACAGCTCAATCCTGCTTCACAGGAGAACCAGACACCGTATAGGCTTTAACGCTACAATCTGAATAGTACAGCTCAATCCTGTGGCGCAACCACACAGGTACCGAGTACCCTGGTGGACCATTCGCACCATTCACATACACGTTCACACCACATGTATATTTATTCAGACGAATGATCGGAATTCAGTTAATGTTATCTGGTTTCTAATTGCTAATCTAAGTTACACTAACCACCATACTAAAATTCTAGAATTCATTGGTTTACCAGAATGATTTTTTTGGGAGGGGGATTCCATTCTCGATTATTTTAATGATTTACAATAGAAAAAACATTGTTTAGTCCCCGGATCTATCTTAATGTTGACTGTCTATCCATTCATAGTTATAAATTGTAGCGAATTGTTATACAAAAGAAATTAAATTGTTTTTACCAAGGAAGTTTTTCGATTAATTAATGTATCTTGTCAATAAATTGTGTTTCTTACATGTCAAGATAATTGTGATAACTTTTTTCCCCGTCAATTCACATTTCCATAGTAGACCTTGCTGTCGTTTGATTGGTTACTCTCACTTTCAGTTCACTAAGTTTGTTATTTGTTTCAATATTATGTCTTTTTATATGTATACAGAGCTGCTCAACTACAAATTTGTTTCCTTTGAATATTAAGCTTCTCTTGATTACCTGTCCTGTCCCTTCAATAGTCAAGAGATTATTGTTTCAATATATGCGTGTCAGTTGTATGATCTATCGCGGCGAGAGTATTTTTACGAAATTGAGAGGACGAAAAGTGAATGTCCGGTGCTTTAACTGGGTTGGTGGATAGGGAGGATCCATCTAGTGGATTTGGAAAGCCCTGATTCCAAACCAATGGTGTACATTGGCTCCACAATCCTGAGAAACAAAAGGCGTATGAAGCTATTGTTGGTCACCATCTATCATGGGACTACATCTTCTAACGCCACTCTGCTGTCTTATAGATTAGACTGTTAGGTCGAAGGCTCCGGGAGTGGCCCACCAAGAAAAGCACCTCCTTTGGTTAGAGTGTCCAGACAGTATTTCAGCCCTCACACAAATGGCGAAATGTGGCGCACATATATCTAGTGCATCCTTGTACCAATGTATTTAAATAAATTAAAAAAATCTGTCAAGTTTACGTAGACTTAGCTTTGTATTAGGAAAATCTCTCAATCGTTCATAATTAGGAATTATCCTAGGTGATAGCAAAACTGAAAACTTTTGCTTCTTTTGTCTTTTGGTTTATTTTGTTCGACGTTCTATGCATTGTACTGTAGATACTTTATCAAAAAATAATGCTACCATGCAATTCACTAATTCTTAAAATTGAGTCGATAAACAGATTTCTAATTGCTAGTATAGGGGTTGTGGAGATTATTAAGTTTTTGATTGAGATCATGCACCGATTGACATTAGGCTACCACAATTGAAAACCTGAAAGCACTGGACGGCCGTTTCGTCCTATTGTGGGACTCCCCAGTAGTGCGCATCCACGATCTCGCTCGCGGGATTTGAACTCAGGGCCTTCGGTCTCGCGCACGAACGCTTAACCAACTGGACCACTGAACCGGTGATAGTGTCTAACATCAGCCAATCCACGAAATTGCGCGACCAACTTCCGTTGTACTGAGGTAGATACCTGTCTCTACCCGATATGGATTAGCTCCACTAATCACGGCTTCTCACTAGAACTACGAGAATTCCCTCACGAAGCTAGCCACTAGTGGGCACTGCTGAGGAGTCCCACAATAGGACGAAACGGCTGTCCAGTGCTTCCAGGTTTTCAATTGTGGTAGTCTAACATCAATCGGTGCATGATCTCAATCAAAAGATTTCTAATTGTCTCCATTTCGAATTTACACTGTTGAATCAAGCACCATAAAACTCACATTCTTAATGTCTGATCCTCAAATACACATTGAAGAGAATTCTCTAAATGTTCGCATTTTTCTTGTCTACATATGATCATCAGTTAGAGTGTTGAGTGAATGGTCATTAAAAGCTTAGTATAAGTTCAGTTGAAAAGTATTTTGAATTGTGTTTACCGTTTGCGTTGATATTTCAATTGGCATAGCTAGATACGAGTCGTAACAATCTATCTAAATTATTATGTTTACATTCGTTTTAATAATTTGTCTGACAATGTTTTCAAGTTTAAAACAACACTGGAAATGAACACTTAGTTATTGAAAAATTTAAGTTTTGGAAAGAACGCCACCATTATTATTTTTATTCGTGATGGTACCTAGTAAAAAGCAGAAAGGATATTTCATCTTCTTTTCGGGACTAAAGGAGTTTTTGATGGTGATAGCCTTCAACCACCTAAAATTTAAAAATGGTACATGAAATGTAGATTTATTTAACCAGTTGGTCACATTCCAAACATCATTGCTAGCATCCAATCATTGTTAAGGACTAGACAAACATGATATTGGTTACTGTCCAATAATCACTCAGTAAATCTATCATTTCTTATCTTGAGTGGTGCTAGAGTGCTGTTAGAGGTATGAGGGCGGTTATCACTACCCGGTTGCCCACACCATGGAAGGGTTCTTCTGGAGGTACCTGTAAAGGAAATCGGATTAGAGGTGGTCTTAGTGACCTGAGAGCGTGACTGCAGTGCCTAAGGAACAGCTGCTTGATGTCGATCACGCATGACCTTTTTGTGAGTCATTTTCGTGTGAGCGCCGTACTTGTTGAGACCTTACCACCGGAGACGGATATCCGTGGGATAAGGCGAAGTGTGCATTTTTAGGGTTGACCTTTTTTAACCCCACCCCTCCTTGTGGAAAGGCAGCATCGCTGTTATGCTGGTTGTCTGAAGGAAACACCTTACTGCTGTCACACCTCTGTACAGTCGGCAGTACGACTTCGCCTTCGGATCTTAGCTTTGTTGCTTTTAGTCTTACCGCTCTTCAATCGACCTGTCTAACATGGTAGGACCTTGAGGAACGGTTGTTCCAGTCAGTATAGCTCGGTTGCTTCATCACGATAGGCAAGCGCGACCAAGGTAGCAACAACGGTTAGGAAAGGCGATTCGCGTCAGTTCTACAAGAGATCTATCATAATCCAAGTAGCTCCTTGACAGTACGTCTATGTATAATTTCTTGATGAGATAGATTCTAATTCTACAAAAAGCATCAATGCCCTTACAATTGTAGGTATATTTTCTTGATAAGTATCATTTAGCTCGAAACATGATTTCTTAACAACTGCTTCCAAACAATTCACATTATTGATATCACAATTCCCCTTGTATATAACTTGAACCCTAACACATAGATCACTATATTGAATTATGGTAACTAATCGTTACACAGATTTTTTTTCCGGAGGGCGGTTTAGTAATAATAATAATATTATTATTATCATTATCGTATTTCTGTTCACCCATTTCTTTTTTCTGAAATTCAATTTATTTAACCATGTGATTCTCGTCAATATAATTCATTATTGTTATCAGAATAATGATAAAATATGATTTCTATACAGACTTATACTGGTTTAATAATTTATCAGCATTACTCTATCTTTAATTTTACTGATGAATGGATACAACACTATTTGACATAATCTTCACACCATATGATATCATCACCAAATGTTGTTGTCCGTTTATGTTTTCTTTTACCTTATCCACTATTTTATTTCTTCTTTTTTTAAAAATTATTTTTCTTTCTGTTTTCTTGTTTCATCATAAGGATAATAATAATAAGTCATAAGCCTTTTAAACAAACATGGATAATAGCTAGCAGTGGAAGCTTAAAAAGATCTGGCTTAAGGTTATATCGAGACAGTCCGCACAGGATGCACATATTGCCAACAAGAGACTGATCAATTACAGTCCTAAATAACAATGGGAAGATACAATTAAAACAACACCAAGTGAATTTAAACTTCACCCCATTGCACAAGCAGGTGGTTATCAAGTCTCAGTAGCTTAGTAGATAACTCGATGGCGTTTGAATCGAACGGTACTGGGTTCGAGTCCCAGAGTGAACTTCAAGTCTGAGATGCACGCACATCCAGCTGCTGAGTCCCAAATAGGACGAAACACGCGTCAAACTGAATTACACTGCTAGCCACTATCCATCTTTGCTTATAAAGCTTGTGAATTAAGGCAATATTGAGGTAATCCTCACAGGATGCACATATGCCAACAAATGACTGATCAATTACAGTCCTAAATAACAATGGGAAGATACGAGTAAAACAACACTGAGTGAATAATAATAATAATAATAATAATAAT